ACAGACGAACAGACCGTTAGAAGAACGAACTTAGAATAGAGTTCCGCAATGATCCTATAGTTTTTTGAAGTGATAACTTCTTATGGGAGGGTAAACCGCTTCGTTACGTAACGTGTTACGGCGCCAGTCTGTCCAGCTTGCCTTCCTCTCTAATATATTTACCCGAAGTTATCACTTTTGTCGTGCGTCCCAAGATGCACACCCTTTTTTATGTTAAATGGGTGGCAAAAGCATACCATAATATTATTACCGACTGTATGTTTCCTCACTTATGTAATATTATGGCTGGTCTGAAAGTAAGCGACTGCCCAAAGTCCATACACGCTTGTGACACCAAAGTATCAATTGCGCCGCTGAGAATCATTTTTCAATCGTTGAGGGACTTCACCGCGTCTCCGCACCCAACAGCCTCACGGCCTAGCCTGGGCTCCATGGCAGGGATCACCCAGGGTATTTCGGATGAGCTAAGTGCTTGGCGACCATTTGGCAAACTTAGTCATCATCATCATCAGCCTATTAATGTCCTCACTGCTGGGGCACAGGCCTTCCCTATGGATAGAACAGGGAGATTGGGCCATGACCCACCACGCGGGCCCAGTGCGGATTGGTGGGTGCTAACGACTGCAAATGCAGCCGGGACCAACGGCTTAACGTGCCTTCCGAAGCACGGAGGAGCTCGAGATAGTAATTTTTGGTCACCCATCCAATGACCGACCACTGCTAAAGTTGCTTAAGTTCTACGATCGCAGCCGAACGCGCTAACCACTTGCGCCATCGAACTCAACATCACCTGAAGGTATTTCTATCACCTCTTCGTCAGCTATGGACTCAAACAATAAACAATAATGGACAAAGTTGTAACAAAAAAAAGGTTATTAATTTTGGGCCTTACAGTTTCTTTTAATTGGTATGTGTTACATTTAGCATTAAACTTCACTTATGTAAGAAATTTCAGGGCATAAGTACAAAAAAAGTTAAGTTTGAGCAGCTTAACAAGCTAACATTCTAAAAATATTTGAAGTATGTCACATTTCATGCAGGTGCTTATGTGTTTTCTGTCTTAAAATAAATAATTAAGTGTCACTTTTACGAATGAGCGATGGAAAAATTATTGTGTTGTAAATTTTGCTATTTTTAGTATCTAACTGTCTAGATGGTTGTTATTGTATCACCTAGGGTAGGGATATTCGTTATATATCGATGCATCGATAACATAGATGTTTAAAATCAAAAACATCGAATCGTACCGATGTTTTAAAAAGCTTTCAATATACTCGATGCATCGATGTTTAAAAAAAACATCGAATTGGTAATAGAGTTTGATCAATAATATCCTCTTTGATTTGACCTCAGTAAAAAAAAACTTAAGTTTGACCTCTAAAATTTTACTTATTACTATTACGAAAGCATCATTTTCCGAATTCTCTGATAGTGACCCGATGTTGGCAACACTGCGCAAGAGTCAGTGCAGTGACAATAAAAAATATCTACGAGTTTCTATGTTTATAAACATATAAATAACCTTTGGTTTTGTGAAACAAACTAAGATTGAAGTATATTTCTAATATTCTTTTGACAGACTTAGCAAAAATTTTGCGGGTTATTTATTGATTTTCAATTTGATTTTTTGTAAAATATAATACAGAATATTCTAAAACATTACTAGTATTTACTTTTACCTATTCATTATGAAAGGAGTTAATTCTATTATTTTATGAAAGATTAATATCTAAACTATAATAAAATTATGGATTAAGGTCTTTTCATAAACTTCAATAGTAACATTTTTTACTATGAAAAGATGGTCTCTTTTGAGATGTGTCATTTTCCACATAAGTTGAGTTTTGTGATAAAATTTTAGAAAAAGTACTCGATTTTTAAAATACATACACGTTTTCATTCGATACATCGAAAGACATCGATGTATAGTTGCGATGTATCGAGTTAAAATATACATCGATGTTTTTTTAGAGTGGACACCCCTAACCTACGGATCTAATAATAGGTAGTGCAGTTGAAATCACCTTAAAAAATCCTTGACCTTGATATATACGCAGTAAACAATTTAACCATTTAGTTAAATATCAGTTAACCAGGTCCACAGGGTATGTCCTTACTTAAGAAATTGGCGTTTTATTGAATTTGCCCTTTGTTATTAAAGTAAAAAAATCTGGAGTTTGGTTCGGAATTCCAAATTGTAATTTATGGTTAAATTTTTATTTATTAAGCATATAACTGCTAGATGTTTAAGAGGTTAAAGCTGGCGCCTTACGATCAAATACACGTTTCGAATTTAGTAATTTGTATTCCTGCATTCAAATCCTTATATCTCTTATCTATTAGACAAGTCCGTCCGTCCGTCTGTGGTGCTGTTTCAGCGGTCAAACCGTAAGAGATAGATAAAGAGAATGTTTAAGTTATAAGTTAAGAATAGTCTGATAAGACTATAAACCGGATTTGAGTAACGTAGCACTTCCGGTTTTCGAGAAATTACGAATTTCAAACGAAACCACACTAAATCTCCGAAGTTCTCAATTAATTAAATACATTTTTTTTTGGTTGGTTTGCTAGTTATTTTCTATTAACCTTAGCTTAATCTTATTTTAAAAGATTTATTTTATGTTTTTTTGAACAACTTAAGAAACTGTAAAAATTAAATGCTTTTGGTTCTCCAAGATCAGTATCTTGGATTTCCGCTCGAATAGGATCGCCCGTCTGGGGTAGTAACCTCCACCTTACAGAATACTACAGTAAAACTACACTACCTTTTGGTGGTGTTGTGTTTCTGTCGGCGAGTAATATTCCAGGGCTCCACGGGGTAGGGGATGGGGTCAGGGTAGGCAACGGCGCAAGTGATATTTTTTGTATCGCAAAGGTCTATACAGGTTTTTACAAAAATACAAACAAACGTTGAAGGGCGTTGAAGTAAAATAAATAAAAACAGTACTGTTTAATGATTAATAATAATATCGATCATTTTAAGATACTTCACTAGATCGAGGATCATTAAAAATAACTGTTTTTAAAAAAAGTTAAAATAACTTCATGCAAATATTTTAAGAAAATTAGAGAAGACTCCTTGTATGATGTACTACAACGCCCTTCAAGCTTTATTTGTATTTTTGTAACAACCTGTATAGAAATTATTAAATGTGACATGTACCTATTTCTATATGATTATTATGAGTTATGTCCAAATAAATCAATTTTATTTTTATTTATTTTTTATTTTATAGGCTTTTAACATTGCTACGCTTTTAACATAAAAGCAATTAGACCTTTTAATTTTTTATTGGTTTCAAAACAAGTGGTAATGTTGGTGTAACTAATGTCTATTTTATTAATTTAGTGAATTTTTCATGCTTTTATAATAAAACAATTATTAGCTATTAATTTGCTTAATCTAAAACAAAACACTACAATATTCTTAGGTACTGTTTTGTGACAAATACTTGTATATAAAAGACTGAAGCTTGTCAGGTGAGTCCCAGAAAATATCAAGTTGAACGTTTTTTTTTTGTGTATTCATTTACCAGCTTGCATAGTCTTGAATTAGGGGAGTTGGATCCGAATACCGTTCTGCGACGCGGTGCTTTGAGAGGGTCTTTCCTACTTCGGAGGTATCTTGAAGGAACATTGAAATTTGTGCAAAGGAAAAAAATTGGCTATATTTTCAAGCAAATTATCATTGATTCCTCAATCAAAGATTTCAACTGGTCAAATGCAAGGCAATTTCTAGCAAGGGAAAAAAAATAAGTAGATATATAAAAAGCCGAGTTATCACTCAATGAAACTAGATTGACCAAGTTCTTAGATTGCTAGTTAAAAACAAAACAAATCTTTAAACGAAGTCTATTTGGGTATTTTTTAGCTAAGTCTTTGATTTGATTTGTTTTTTTAATAAAATGGCAAAAGTGCATAGATGTCAATGGTAAATACGATGAAATATCATGACTTAATTCTTTATACTTAAAGGTAAGACGCCAATTTAGTATGTAAGAACCTAATAATAAGCGTACAGTTCTAACTCTATGACTGATGGCTATGTAGAGTTGTTTCAAATTAGGTATGTCTTTAAAACACTAAAGTAAATTCATAGTTCTTAATAAGCATAATTCTAACTGTATTTATTAACGAGGAATACATTGGCAAACAATAATGGTGTCAATATTTTTTTAAGAAATTTTAACAGACTCTTTCAAACTTTTTACAAGTTCTTCTCAGACAGATCTAAAATTTTTAAACCTGTTTCAAATTAATTAATCGATCTTAAATAAATCAATCAAAATATACCTTTCATTATAAAAAAAGGAATCTATTAACAAAACTATTAAATTTTGTGAACGACCATGCTCTTTTAATCACGGAGGGAATGTAAAAAGAGACAGAATTTCGGAAATGACAATTTCGTTCTCAAAACTTTTCAAATGGTTCTGAATCAATTTCAAATTAAGTTCTGTCTCATATCATTTAATTTTAATCTAAAATGAACTCAGGTAGTAGAGTCAAAATGTCTAGTAGATTATTTAAAAAGAAATTCAATCGTGCGTATTCGCGAAATGCTATCAAGGACAAGTGAATTTAATATCACCTCTCCAATTACTATACCATGAATACAAGCACCATATTTTTTACTGCAACTTATATTATTTAGAAACGTGTTAAGTTAATAATACCAACGAAACGTAAACTTTCACGTTAGCGCCCTTGAAAACGTAGGTAACCAAATCGATTTAAGCATCTCATCGCATCATTTCAATTACCTACTGCATAAAATATCTCATCAATACAGACAGAATTTATTACTTCGGCCCGAGCAAACAACAACATTTTGTGTACCGTCCTCTATACACAGCCGGCTGTTAAAACATACACACACACATGCACACAAAACAAACCAGGAAACGTCTAGCGAAAAACAAACAAGGGTCTTTTGTGCTCTGTAAACAATTCGTTGGCTGTATGCAACAGGCGTGACGCGACACGAAAAAAAAACAACGCTACAGGTTACTCTCAGTAGATGGCGCGCGTAGACATCTCGTACCAGCTAGTTCATGCGTCACCCGATAGATGTCACTTAAATTAATACAACTAGTTTTATTAATGTTATCATGTGTTTATCAATAGATATTTATGTTATTAATAAAAAAAATGTTAATCGCGAAGGAATTATTGATAGGATGACCTGTTTTTTTATTTACATTGTCAATAATGTTTGCGGTTAAACGTGACGTGACATCGATAAGAATTTTTGCATGTAGAGTGCCTACTTACACCTATATGTGCAAAATCACGATGTACCTTATTGCACTGTGTTATTGCTGTAACAGAAAAAGCCTATTTTAATTTACGTTATCATGTTTAGCACTTCTATGGCGCACTCTACATTTCCTATTTTAAATGTTGCATATTTATTTTCTCAGGTGACTACATAGACGCTTTATTACTTGGTTTGGCAGAGCGTCAAAAGTTTTGCAACATGATAACAATATCAATAAACAAATTAGACTTCAGTCCTATCCCTAAGCTACCTCTGTCAAAGACCACTAATAATAATGGCATTCAATGGCTACAATGTTGTCCGGAAGCTAGAATTACAAGTTGCTGTAGTCAATCCAGTAACTGCCTACAATGGTTTTATCATCTGATTCATCAGCCAATTAATGTCCCCACTGCTGGGGCACAAGTCTTCCCTATGGATGGAATAGGGTGATATGGGCCATGGCCCACCACGCGGGCCCAGTGCTGATTGGCGAAGCTAACGACTGCAGATGCAGCCGGGACCAACGGCTTAACGTGCCTTCCGAAGCACGGAGGAGCTCGAGATAGTAATTTTTGGTCACCCATCCAATGACCGACCACTGCTAAAGTTGCTTAACACCCGCACCATCGAGCTCCTCCATGGTGTCTAAACAATGGTTTACTAACACAAAGTTGGGTTTACCAACTGTATAGGATAGAAGAGTGTTTACTCTGTCTTAGTCCTGCTCAACATGGTGACTACTAGAAGAAAAAGAAATCCTAAATGACTTATTCCCAAGATCTGCAATTGAAACAATTTGCAACCTTTGTCAATTACACGATTTTTTATTCGTTTTTGTCTTTGCTTTCATGATAGATAATTCTCTCCCATCTTCTTGTAATCCTCTTATTTTCCGTATCGCTTAATAGACATATTTTTTGAATATAATTTTCGGCTCATGATGGCTGCACACCACCAGTTATGTCATAAGTATGTTTTTCATATAAAAATAAAACGGTTGTATGTTCGGATTGTAACAAGACCTTTGGCCTGTGTTCCTTGCTGCGTCATTATAACTTCTGACAGTGATATTTTATGGCCATGATTTTTATCGTCAAGATAATCATAATAAACATAATAAATATTAATTTCATCAAACTGTGTCTATGAACTATTAATAAAATTTGCAAATGATAAAATAGTTATCAGTCTATCGATAAATAAATTTACTTTACATCATGCATTCTTTAAAAAACACTGATTAAATAATGTCAAATCATTGATGATAATTTTATTGATAATCAAATGTAGAGCTATATAAAATTACTATTTGGACAGTAGTATTCTATAATTTCATAGATATAATTTTAAAGGTACGGGTATATACTAGGGTGTAGTACCCCTAGCACGAACCATTATCGAATTCGAATAGTTTGCGAACCGAAATGTCAAATTTGATGACATTTCGGACTCGCAAACGATACTAATTCGACATTGGTTCGTGCTAGGGGTACAGGCGGTCCTCAGTTTTCAGTTTGATGTTATCGAGCATCGGGGCAGTTTGACATATGATTATTTTGTATAAAATACTAGCAAACCCAGCGAACTCCGTTTCGCCACCAGATAGCTTCGTTTTATGTAACATTTCGTTTTGTGATAAAAAGAAAACGATTTTTTTTTAATTTTTCCTGAATTTTCTTTGCTATAAACCTCACGGAGCCCGAGACCTTTCCAACGAATGCAAAACCGTGGAAATCGGTTCGTACGTTCTGGAGTTATAGCGTCAGGAAGGAAAACCCGACTTATTTTTATATAGTAGATTAAAAAAAAATTTTTGGAGAAGATTTAAAGGTTACCACTTAAGAGAGGAGGCGGGCAATGTTTTTTCCATACAAACGTTCTAGACAGATTCCTCCTTCAATGTTATCACAAAAAAATTGATTTTCATACATAAAATAAAATTTTACTCATTCTATGATCCTATGCCTTCATTTTTTCAATAACTTGTGTTTCAAAGAAACTGGAAGCCCTCAAAAATAACAAAAATAAAGAAATTTTTATCACCACTAAAGACGTCTAGTGTGGGGATTTAATAAGCATTTACAAAAATAGCAAGCATAACATAGGGAAATATTATAACTAAGTACTTACTACTTATTATTCTATGAGTAAAAATTATTTTACATTTATTTTTTTCTATACGCGATTTTCAGCGTTTACTACTGTTGTCCCTATCGCACGGTATTTGCCAATGTGTAACAGCAATAGTTTTTTCAAATACCTACTTCTCATTTATCTCTTAACTCGCAGCCCCTCTTAACAAACTTTAACAAAATACACTAATTTGTCTATTGATATAGGTATTGTGTTTTATTCGTTTATTACCCGTGGTCCACCTAATAAGTTCACCTGGGTAGACTCCAGAAACTTGTTCTGACCCTTGGTTCACTTGGGTGGACTAAGGGGACTTGTTTTGACCCTTGGTTCACCTGAGTGGACCACGGATACTGACGCAGACCCTTGGTACACCTGAGTGGACCACGGACACTGACACAGACCCTTGGTACACCTGGATGGACCACGGATACTGACGCAGACCCTTGGTACACCTGGGTGGACCGCGGACACTGACGCAGACCTTTGGTACACCTGAGTGGACCACGGACACTGACACAGACCCTTGGTACACCTGGATGGACCACGGATACTGACGCAGACCCTTGGTACACCTGGGTGGACCGCGGACACTGACGCAGACCCTTGGTACACCTGAGTGGACCGCGGACACTGACGCAGACCCTTGGTACACCTGGGTGGACCACGGATACTGACGCAGACCCTTGGTACACCTGGGTGGACCGCGGACACTGACGCAGACCCTTGGTACACCTGGGTGGACCATGGATACTGACGCAGACCCTTGGTACACCTGGGTGGACCGCGGACACTGACGCAGACCCTTGGTACACCTGGGTGGACCGCGGACACTGACGCAGACCCTTGGTACACCTTAGTGGACCACGGACACTGACACAGACCCTTGGTACACCTGGATGGACCACGGATACTGACGCAGACCCTTGGTACACTTGGGTGGACCGCGGACACTGACGCAGACCCTTGGTACACCTGGGAGGACCGCGGATACTGACGCAGACCCTTGGTACACCTTAGTGGACCACGGACACTGACACAGACCCTTGGTACACCTGGATGGACCACGGATACTGACGCAGACCCTTGGTACACTTGGGTGGACCGCGGACACTGACGCAGACCCTTGGTACACCTGGGAGGACCGCGGACACTGACGCAGACCCTTGGTACACCTGGGTGGACCACGGATATTGACGCAGACCCTTAATACACCTGGGTGGACTACGGATACTGACGCAGACCCTTGGTACACCTGAGTGGACCACGGACACTGACGCAGACCCTTGGTACACCTGGGTGGACCACGGATATTGACGCAGACCCTTGATACACCTGGGTGGATTACGGATACTGACGCAGACCCTTGGTACACCTGAGTGTACCACGGATATTGACGTAGACCCTTGGTACACCTGAGTGTACCACGGATACTGACGCAGACCCTTGGTACACCTGGGTAAACTACGGATACTGACGCAGACCCTTGGTACACCTGGGTGAACTACGGATACTGATACAGACCCTTGGTACACCTGGGTGAACTACGGATACTGACGCAAACCCTTGGTACACCTGGGTGGACCGCGGATACTGGCACAGACCCTTGGTACCCCTACCACTGAAAAAACTCCCTGCACACGTGTTTTCACTATGTGGTACGCATACGTATCGTAATAACCTTTTACGCACAAGTGCATACAACATTTTTCTATGTATTTTGCGAGGAACTAAAATAAAAATAAAACACATTTATTTAAATATACAAACCTATTAAGCACATATGTCAATAGTTTACAAATGCTTTATTTTCGAAGAGGAAATCTTCGAGAGCCAAACCTCCGAATTTTGCAATTTCTATACGCGATTTTAAGCGTTTACTACTGTTGTCCCTATTGATCGCACGGTGTGACAGCATTAGTTTTTTCAAATACCTACTTCTCATTTATCTCTTAGCTCCGTCCGATCCGTGGTCCACCCAGGTGTACCAAGGGTCTGTGTCAGTATCCGTAGTCCACCCAGGTGTACCAAGGGTCTGCGTCAGTATCAGTGGTCCACCCAGTTGAACCAAGGGTCAAAACAAGTTTCCAGAATCCAACCAGGTAAACTGTGGTCCACCGAAAAGGTGGACCACGGGTAATATTGATATTATTTGTTTTACAAATAAAGCAAGATACATAAATAAAATATATAAACATATTATGATGATGTCAAAGCTTATTAAATAGTCAAGGCAGATCGTTACTACGTTAAATGAAAAAAAAATAAGGATGCTTGTACTTATGTACGCGAGTGAGAAGTTATACTTCTTTGGCATCATTAAAAATTTGTTTTTATTTGCATGCAAATAATTAAATACAATAAAATAATAAAAGGACTGGAAATGGATAGTCAACACAGTCAATAAAGTTCAGTTTTAATTTGAAAAATGAAATAAATAAAAATAGTTTTTTACGGGTTAATGCACGAAACTTCTTGACGTCAATAAATAAATAAAGTTTCGTGCATTAACCCGTAAAAAATTAGTTTTATTTAATGAGTGATGTGCGTGAAAGCCTAAGAAACAAATATGAAATAAATAATCAAAATATTCAATTTAAATCACTACTGAATATAGTTTATTAGCACGATTCGCACTTGTATGAAACTAAAACATGTGTTGTGAATATATAGAAACTAGAAACATGTGGATAAATATTATAAATATGAAAACAGTGATCAGAGGCGACGAGCGCGCCAACATGCGCGACTGACAGAGATTCTATTTCTATTTTGTTGGTAGCTTTTTTCGAGACTTAATGTGCGGTTTCGCGGCCAACTTCATGGTGTTACTTTTGTGTTACAGTGATGTGCGCGCATCTTAAAATTTCACTCTCATAATTTTTTCATAACGCGCCTAAAGAAGTATAACTTCAAAAATGACCTATGTCCACAAAATTTTAATTGAACCGCACCAAGCTGTAACCTTATACATGTTATAATGCTAATTATAAGGGCGATGTTATGCTTAGCTGGCCTTTCATAACAACACAATATTTACTTTAAGAGCAGTATCTTCAGGTGTCCGTAATGTAGGGAACATAAACAAGTTCAATTACCACTCAGCTGCTAAGTAAAATGAATCATAACCTATAGTTACTCAAGGTTTACATTTCCGAATTGAGAAATCAAATTGATACGACGCTTGTTATTAGTAACATGAAATTAGTCATAGACGAAGATTGTCCGACATTATTTTTAAAAACTATTAAACTGTTTTAGTAAGTCTATCGTAGGCAACTTCAAGTTTGAATTTTAATAATGCAAGCAGGTTCTGTAGATACTCAGTTACACATAATATTTAATGTTACGGAAATTACAAAAACTTTTTGCCACGTCTCAAAAATAATATTCTTTTTTTTTTCTTTTTATTACCTGCCTGATCATAATACCTAGTTTTCTTAAATAAGCCGTGAAATTGAGTTACTTGATGCCAGGAGCGTTTATAATAAAATCTTATACATTGTGATACTGATATCAGCTACATGTTTATCACTGCTAAGATAAATAATGATGAGACCACAGTTTTTTAAAAGAGTTTCTTATTTTATTTATTAATTTAGTTAATAAGCAAATAGTTTCAAATGCATTCGAATAATCCATAGATAACAAATTAAACTACAGAACCCTCCTCATGTACAATACACGTTCACGGTTGGTTTTATTATTGTTTTACTTCTGTTACAGATTGTATTGAAAACAATTCGAGTTGTGGCTTCAGTCATTTCAAGAACGCTACGGCGGCATGCCGCAAGGTGCTACACTGAGGACATTATTATATTAAGCAGTTGAATCATTAAGTGCGGTGTTTACATAAACTTGGAGGCTGTGTGATTTCTGGATGTGTCTCCAGCGGGATGAAGAGGATGTTGCATATATAAATGAGACGGTGAGTTAGTAATCAGCTTAAACAATTTTGTCAAATGTACGTTTTCATTTGAAATAATTCACATGTCAAAAATTAAGTTTCTGTTCTGAAAAGAATATCTTCAAAAATATTATTTTAAATTGTAACTTAATCTTATAGTAACACCGTAACACTTTGTACTTATAATCAAACTTACCAACTTTTGAGTGTTGAATTGTTTACTTTTATTTAATTAAACATAAACGCATTATTCGGTGAAATAACTATATTGTTTTATTTCAATAATATTGATTATAAAGAAGGAAATGGGTATAATGTTTAATAAAACGGGTCTTCTATCAAAATAACCTTTGTAAGGGTTCTCTTTAGAGAGGTTCCAATAAAGACAAATTATATTCCGTTGAAAGATGCTGATGAGATAGCAATAACGCTTGGTGACTATGCATTTTTCGCAAGAAGAAAAACATATTTTGATGTTCCGAGGCTCGAAGGATAGGGATGTTATTTTTGCAACGATTGTACGATCCTGCTACCTATAAATTTATGTTTTGGACAAAATTTTTTTTTTATAAACTTAAAATATTTAAAATACATACAACCCTAAATTTTCTCTTCTACCAACTGCCCCAATTTTTATGGCGGTACGAAGTTAGCTGGGTCAGCTAGTTTTACTATGAAATACTGTAAGGAGACTTTCCCAGATGAACTGCAATTCGAACCGAAAATCCACTAAGCCCTATCTCTCTCGGTATATATATATTTGTATAGCAAGCATCCAGCTTTGGTGGCCACTATATCATCATGCAATCTTGATTTCGTTTACCACTCATTTTTTTTATATATTAAATAAAATAGTTTTGGTAAACAGCTAAAGTTATAGGTACAACAAATTTCCGCCGGAGACATTTTTAATTAAAAAAAGAATGGTGAAAACAACATTTTTATCGCTGTAGCCAGCGTACGTGCAATGTTTTGAAAAAACAATTTCAACAAAACGTAAACTATGAACAGGCGAGAAGAAACGAACCTAAACAACGTACCGTGTCCGATTATTATAAACAGAAAAATCGATTGAAAACAAATATGGCCGTAAAAGCGATGCATAGAGCCATGATATGAAATAAATAATGTTGCTTACATAACTGTTTCAGACGTCCGTGAGCAGCATGCTTATATACAAATGACTTATAAACGTGATGTAGATTCTTATACACCTACTTTATTTTATTTTATTTGGATAACCAACAACAAAATACATCTTACATGCTAAAAATACATGTATTTTCTTAAATTATTCGGTGTTGCCTGAAAAACAGGTTGTCACGGAAAGCAAAAAATGTGTCATTTAATTAGGAGCATATGGAATTCTTTTTCATTAGGAGATTTATTTCTTTTTTACCCCTTGCATGTTATAAATATATTTGTTTATTATTATATAACAAAGAAATGGGGGATCATTTGAGTTACGGGGTCTCTCTCAAAATCGAAATTCATCCTTATAATGTGAAATTTTTATTGACGACGCCTCGTATGCAGTAATTAAACAACAAATACTACACACGTTTTGTTGTCAAAGCACTAAAAAGTTTGACACATAAGCTGGTAAAAATTGCGCGATATTTAATTTTTTATATCATTTGGGGATCAGAAACCTAGCTTGAACAGCGCGATATGATACATTGCTTGTTTTTATCACGCTCAGTTGTCAAATCACTATAGAGTTTGACAGGTAGACGCGATATAAAACGTGATAGAGTGTATATTTTGATGCTCATGCTACGGGGACAGATGTTGACTCCGACTAAAATCTCTAACAACCGAAGAATTCATTGAAAACTCACAAACTCGCAATTTATATTGAAACTAGCGGCCCGCCCTCACTTCGCTTCGGTGTAGAGCTGAAGTGTAGACTACAGTTTTTGTTCTCAAGCTTGTATTATACACAATGACATTAATCTATGATTCTTCTTATACCTGCATGCAAAGTCTCAGCCAGATCGGTTTAAAATTGACAGAGTTTCATACAAACTTTCATTCCCTATTTTATCCCCTTGGGGGTAGAATTGATCAAAATCCTTTCTTAGCGGATGCCTACGTCATAACATCTACCTGCATGCCAAATTTCAGCCCGATCCGTCCAGTGGTTTGGGCTGTGCGTTGATAGATCACTATGTCACCAACCTTTGAGTTTTATATATATAGAAGATGTAGAATAAACTAGTAGACGATCGCGACTTCCTCTGCGTGTACAAAAATTGGTTTCCCAAACATTATATATATAATATGAGTATGGAAAATAATATTTATGAGTATAAAATCAAGTTTATGTTAATTTATGATATTGAAGCGTGAATTGCGGTTGTTTTTGTTGGCTCGCGTTATCGCTATGATAGGCCTTAAATGTATTTATAACGGTTCAATTGTAAATAACAAAACAACTGAGAACTCATGTACTTAAATTCAAATGTTTAAAATCGCTAATACATTACAAAGATTCAACGATATTAAAAGCCTTTATATCGATGTAAAGAGTGCATCAAATGAATTATCTATTTCTCTGTGAGAGGTAATAGTTATTTATGCAACTGTCGTTTAATGAGGTGTATAAAACACAAATCTTATATCTACAGTAAAACCCGTTTAAGACGATTTCACAGACTCAACCAAAAACGCGTCTTAAGCGGGAAAGCGTATTATGCGGGATTGCGGGATATGGAAATTTCGAATTTGTATTTACAATATTTAAGAATTATGTACGTTATAAAAATGTTGTTTATTATTATTTATTATTACGTTATTTAAATTAAAGCATTACTTTTATTTGGCAAAAAGATTTTGAGGCATTAACAATTAAAAGATTTTCAACATAATTTAACTTTTGCAGTAATTTAACTTCGCTTTGATTCAAAGAAGACAAAATCGGAGTTGGCTTATCTTCTACTTAATCATTATCACTTAGGGCCTCATCTTGTGTGTAATTCATATTCTCATTAAATTTTATGCTGCTGCAAAAGGGTAATATGTGTGGTACGTGTTGGCGATTTGGGCGTATTAAACGGGATGACGAATCGTATACTGACACAAAATGACGTATTATGCGAAAAATCGTATTAAGCGTGATCGTATTAAACGGGTTCTACTGTATATATATATATATCTTTATATATATAATTCTTCTGTGAGTGTGTATGTCACTGAACTTCTCTTAAACGACTGGACCGATTTTGATGAAATTTTTTGTGTGTGTTCAAGGGGATCTGAGAATGGTTTAGATTCACAATTTTGTCCGCTGGACAACCCCTATTTTTTTAGGGCGGTACGAAGTTCGCTGGGTCAGCTAGTATATATACACACATCAAAAGTGTCTAGGGATCAACATATATTTTTGCAATAACTTTTCTCCTGATTGATATTAATTAAAATTTTCTTTAAGGATTCATCAAATAAAGTGTTTTCGTTTGTCACAGTAACGATAAACCAAGTCACCTTTGCATTAATAAAGAAATTTGCCATTTTCCTAATAAAGGGATTTTTGACATTTGAACCACTAACACAAAAGTTCGAAAATAAGACTGAAATAACAGTTTTCTCTAAAATTTTATTGGGTAACTTAAACCATTAATAATCCGTATTTCTACCGCGAACACTAACAACACAAGAACATCGGTTTGGCATACTCAAAATGAGTTCATCCAAATCACGCTGTGGAATGGCCGCCCATGTTCGTTGCAACAACAAAAAAAGGTCTTCTTGCGACTGGATACCCTCCATATTCGGCAGAGCTCTTCTCTGTAGCATATCCCATGCATGCTCAATCGGGTTCAAGTCTGGCGACTGAGCAGGCCAGGGCAGGACATTGATGTTAGCTGCGGCGAGAGTCTGTCTTACAACTCTTGCGGTGTGCGGTCGTGCATTATCATGCATTAACTGAAATAAGGGACCGATTTGCACTTGTAGAGGAACGATGACGTCTGATACAATCGTCTCAGCATAAATTTGAGCGTTGAGGTTGCCTCTGATCCAAATCAACTCAGTTCTTCCGCCGATCCAAATACCCGCCCATACCATGATGGTTCCACCACTATAAGGATGGACTTCCTGGCAGGATTTTAATCGCTGTTGGCGTCCATGGGTTCTCCAGTGTCGTATACGTCTTGTATCCGGTCTCATACCAAAACGAGACTCATCAGAAAAGCACACGAAACGCCATTGTTCTTCTGCCCAATTTCTGTGTTCAAGAGCCCATTGATATCGAATCCTACGATTGTGCATTGCTATAGGTGGTACCCGTAGCGGTCTTCGGGAATGAAGGTTCACTTCATGCAAGCGGTTTCTGACTGTTTGGTCGCTAATTAAGTTCCCTGAAGAGTGATGAAGCCTCACGGCTAACATCATGGCGGTTATTGTTGGAGCTCTTCGAGTTAAGATTTGAATGTATCGGTCTTGTCTCCATGTGGTGCAGCGATACCGTCCTCCATGGCGCTCAGCCACGGTACCAGTGCTTCGGTATCGTGTCCAAAGTCGACTGATAACACTCTGACTTGTATTCAGAGCTAAAGCCACAGTACGTTGCCGGGAACCAGCTTCTATCATTCCCACGGCTCTGAGCATTTCTTCCCTGCTTAAATGACGTCGCCGCTCCATAATAACGTTGGTTTTAATCAGTAGTAGGGAAACAGTAGCACTAATAATGTCTTCAATGCGTTGTATGTTTTTATAGGGAAAATATTGACAGCTGATTTTCATCTTTTACTCGAATTTGATTCACAGTTCCTGATTCAAATTATGAAATGCACCAAAAAGGATCCATATAAATTTATAAAATCATAAATTTATTACAAAGCCACATCTCAATCTCAAGAAATCCGCATAAAAATGCTTGATCCCTAGACACTTTTGATGTGTGTATATATAAATCAAATGCTGTTCGTTAGTCTCGCTAAAACTCGAGAACGACTGAACGGATTTATCTTATCTTGGTCTTGAAATGTTCGTGGAGCTCTAGGGAAGGTACTTTTTAGAATATTACTCATTTTTAAATATGGAGTGGACGCTTAAAGAAGACCGTGTTGCAGTTATTGCATTGTAACGTTGCGGTTACGTGCCAATTAAATTTTTTGACATACATTTGAATATAACCAAAAGATTCCTTTATCGTACCATCAAACGATACAATGAAGACTCTAGTGTAGATGACAGGTGAAGAAGTGGTCGCCTCGGTCTGTTAGGACTCCAGCAGTGATAAAAGCTGTAAAGGCGGGAATTCAAAGAAATCACAAACGTAAGCAGAACGTGACCAATTATAAAGCATGTAATATACCGTGTTACCGTATTAGAATATTGTCAAAAGTATTAAAAATAAGGCACTTAACGTAGTTTATGCGGTCAAACTATCAGTTAGTTTGGTGAAATTAACATTTTTTTTATTATTTTCAGAGACCAATGGTGCAGCTAGCTCTACGGGTAAGTTTCCTCATGGGTTTTATTTTATTATACTTAAATGACGAAAAACATGCACGTCTGAATTGCTGTTACCGTAGTCCTGAAACCAGGGATGTTACGGAGCTTCGACTCCGATTCCGATAAGGCGGAACTTCCGATTAATATTACACGGTTCCGACTTCGGCTCCGAAACTGAATTCGGTTCGAAAAAGTCCGAAAAAAAAGGTTGACTGAATGATGTTTTTATTTGTTCTTAAATGAAAAATATCTCTTTTGTGACCACTGCTGACTCTGCCGCTGACCCCGACTCTGCCTCCGACTCCGGTTCCGACTCCAATAATTCAAATTTTAAAACTCCGACTTCGGTTCCGATAAATTGCCTCCGTTACATCCCTGGTATGTACTCCAGACCAAAGATGAATAGTTATTAAATAACATATGATATTTTTATGATATGATATTTATTTTATGATATGAGTGCGGTAAGTTGGTTATTACAAACGAGTAGACGCTCGGGCTTACCATAGTCACGAATTTGTAATACTAATCCGCACGAATGTCGAACAACGTTTTAAACACATTTGCGAGAAAACATCTTTTATCTATTAGACAAGTCCGTCCGTCCGTCCGTGGTGCTGTTTCAGCGGTCAAACCGTAAGAGATAGATATAGAGAATGTTTAAGTTATAAGTTAAGAATAGTCTAATAAGACTACAAACCGGATGTGAGTATCGTAGCACTTCCGGTTTTCGAGAAATCACGTGATTTCTATTTCAAACAAAACCACACAAAATCTCCGAAGTTCTCAATTAATTAAATACATTTTTTTTTTTGGTGAACATTTGGTTCACTGGTTTGCTAGTTATACATAATAGGAGTGATGACGGGGTACAGTAAACGAAATTCTATTTAGTCCGTCAGTTAGATGATCAAAAAATAGTGGACACGTATTTTTTCTTTGGGCAATCAAACAAAAAATTACAATCGATCTCTTTTAGAAATAAGCCCACCTTTGCTTACTATGTTTTTGACTATATGTTTTATACTATATGATGCAATAAAGAGTAAAATAATAAAGTTATAGTGCGTCAAAGTTTGGGAGTAGGGGCTCGTGACGTCACTTTTAAGTGAAAAATGTACCAAAACGTGACGTCATGCGACTTTCAAATCAATATATCTCTGCAATGTTTATATAATGTGAAAAAAGAAAAAATACGTGTCCAATACTTTTTGATAATCTACCTGATAAACGAAGAAAATAAAATTAGTCATCATCCCTATTTGAGTATAGAGAAACAGTTTTTTTGTAATATGAAAATGGCGCGCATGATTAGAATTACATCTGTCGTCTTTTTTTCTTTTTAGTATAAAAGTGAGACATAGGTTTAGACTAGAAGCGCTTCTGAGGAGGTTCGATCAAAATTAAAAAAAAATACAGTAAGGAATACGCACGGTGCTATGTATGGGATCGTGGGGGATTTATAAATAAATATTTCCAACACTCACACCAATTAGCCTAGCCCCAAAGTAAGCACTATAAGGCTTGTGTTATGGGATACTAGGGTAACGGATAGAATACATATACTTTACATATATAAGTATATTTATATAGAAATACATATTAAACATCACACAAACATCTGCCCCCACCGGGATTCGAACCCGGAACCTCTCGAGTCGGCGACGCCATGAAACCCGGCGTACAAACCACTCGGCCACGGAGGTCATATATATGCGTCTCTTTTATTTATACGGAATGTATATCTGTTATACGTTCTTGAGCGAGAAAATAATACCAAAAGTTAGTCGTTTTCTCGCCGGGGTGCGACGGGACATAGTCATAGTCATTTATTCCTTAAACAACTTTGATCGTATTGGAAACCACAAACAAATCATAATAAAATTATTACTTAACATTAAAATTACAATCAAATTTATAATTTAACTAGCTGACCCAGCGAACTTCGTACCGCCATAAAAAAATTAAATTAAAAAAACATTGTCCAGCGGACAAAATTGTGAATCTAAACCATTCTCAGATCCCCTTGAACACACACAAAAAATTTCATCAAAATCGGTCCAGTCGTTTAAGAGAAGTTCAGTGACATACACACTCACAGAAGAATTATATATATAAAGAAGATTAGCATAAAATTTCAATAATTCTTATATAATTACATGTTAAAGTCAATTCTCAAGCAATTTATAATTCATTTACATTAAATGGCTCATCATCATTATCAGTCTATTAATGTGCCTACTGCTGGGGCACAGGCCTTCCCTATGTATGGAATAGGGAGATTGGGCTATGACCCTCCACGCGGGCCCAGTGCGGATTGGCGGGTGCTAACGACTGCAGATGCAGCCGGGACCAACTGCTTAACGTGCCTTCCTAATCACAGAGGAACTCGCGATAGAAGATTTTTGGTCACCCATCCAATGACCGACCACTGCGAAAGTTGGTTAAGTTCAACGATCGCAGCCGAACGCGCTAACCACCTGCGCCATCGAGCACCTCATTAAATGACTTCTTTATGCAATATGAATAAAATTAAACAATAGACAACAGACTAAGCGCCGAGTACTTAAATAATTTTGAGCTTGCGTTTAATCTTTTCTAAGTACCAAAGTCGAAACAAACACGATCTACGCAACTTTCAAAAGAATAAAAAAAGACCTAAGACCTAAATCGGGAGACAAGAACCTACGACCTTCTCAATATTGACGTAACATCTTTAAAAAGTACACTCAATCTGCGAGGGTTAAAAGCTTGTTTGCCCAAAAGATAATGACTGTTGTAATACCTACCCAAATGCTCTTTCATCGTGGAAAATATTGTACCATTCATTCGACCTACAGCCGGTCACAACAGTTTAATGTAAGTAATAGGTTGTCCTATATACGAACATGGTTCTTTACATATATATTGTATAATATTAACAATATTTCATTGAGTATTTTTCGTGTGCATGGACCACACATCTGAAGTGAGCGTGACGTTTCAGCTTTCGCCAAATTACCCTCTAACTTTTATGCTCGTCGGGAACAGCTGCGCAGGCATCCCACACACACACACACGCACACGAACACACACATATAAATAAACATATATATCTAGTTCATCAACTGGACTGACACAAAAACAATACTTTTTATATCAGAAAAAATTTAAGGTTTACGTATATATTAAATGTTGTACTAATAGATGAGACAAACAATTGTAAATAGGGAAAACGATAAATACATGTGTCACGGAAACTGCTGCGGACAAACTGCATGGCAGTTTGGCAGAAAAATAGTTATTAAGTGTTTTTCTCTGTGGAAAATAAATTAATATAATAAAATATATATTTTTTTTCTAAAAGAAGCACGTGTAATAACATTAAAAATAGCTATAGAAGGTATTGCAAAATTTTAAAAAATGTGACAAAACAATCAAAGAAATTATAAATTACATTCAGCAGAGTACAGATAAAAGTAGAGCCACATGGCGAGTGATTAAACAAAATACATCACAGACAAATATAATTAAACAAACAATTGATACTATTAGAAAAGATAATGAAATTATTACTGACCCAATTGACATTGCCAAAATAATCAATAGACATTTTATTTACTTTAATGATGACATCACTAAAACCAAATATAACAATTCATACAAACCTTTGACCCAATCTAATTTAAACAACATTTTTTTGACTCCAGTAGATACAGTTGAAATAATAAAAATTGTAAAAGGATTTACAAATATAAAGAGTACTGGCTATGACGAGATACCTATGTCCATTACAAAGGAAAGTATCCAACAGATAGCAAAACCACTGGCTTATATTATTAATCTGACAATAGAGACTGGAGTATTTCCCGATGAATTGAAAAATGGGCTAATTAAACCTCTTTAAAAAAATGGCTCCAAATCTAAATCAAAAATTAATATCTATCAACCTATTGCACTGTTATCCAACTTTTCTAAATTGTTTGAAAAGACTATTTTCAATAGAATTTGTTCCTTTTTTAATAAAAATAATATTCTACAAGAAAATCAATATGGGTTACAAAAGAATAAAAATACCACATTAGCTATATTTAGAATGTTAAAACAGATTTGGACAGCCGTTGATAAGAAAGATTCATGCATAGGTATTTTCTTAGACTTGTCAAATGAATTTGACTGCGTCCAACATGAAATTCTACTAAAACAGTTGTATCATGTTGGAATACGATTTTAAGCTGTTACAATTATACCTAGAAGATCGAAAACAAGCGACAGTATTAGATGTATATGATATGAATACAAAAGTCATGACAAGAGTTCAGTCGGACTTCTAAGAAGTATTACAGGGTGTTCCACAGGGTAGTGTATTGGCTTCTTTAATGTTTATGTTATGTGGTATGTTTGCGGATGATGCCACTATATTCATTCAAAAGGACAAATTTTCAAACCTTGACGATCAAGTACGTGATTCTCTTAATATCGCAATAAAATGGCTGTCATCCCTAAATCTTAAAGTGAATCTAGAAAAGACAAAAGTTATGCAATTTAAGAATTCCAAAAAGAAAGTCTATGATATTGACATAGTTTTCAATAATAAGAGAATCGAGCAAGCATATGAGACAAATTTTCTAGGCATTAATATTGACCCCCCTCTCAATTGGAAATCACATATTAATAAAATAAATAATAGATTATCTAGTAAATGTTACCTTGTATCAGTATTGACTAATATAACTTCCATTGATGTTGCTCGGAATGCATATTATGGTTATGTGTACCCCCTTTTGACATACGGAATCATATTTTGGGGTAATTCGGTAAATGCTCATTCTACATTTATTTTACAAAAGAGGTGTTTGCGAATTATATATAAAATTATAATTAAGCATTAGTAAAAAATCATGACGAATATTTTTGTAAAAAAAAACTGACTAAAGTCAATATACGAGCCCAATATTAAAATGACATGAATACTGTATTATCGACTAGCTATATATTTGACAAAAGCTCTTATATAAGTGGAA